ATGGGAGTGAAGTGGGATGAGTGGTATGGGAGTAAAGGTGGGATGATGTAGTGTATGGGAGTGAAGTGGGATGTAGTGTATGGGAGTGAAGGGGATGATGTAGTGTATGGGAGTGAGTGGATGATGTAGTGTATGGGAGTGAAGTGGATGATGTAGTGTATGGAGTGAAGTGGGATGATGTAGTGTATGGGAGTGAGGTGGGATGTAGTGTATGGGAGTGGTAGGAGTAGTGTATGGGAGTGGGTGGGTTAGTGTATGGGATTTAAGGTGGATGATGTAGTGTATGGGAGTAAAAGTGGGATGATGTAGTGTATGGGAGTGAAGTGGGATGATGTTGTGTATGGGAGTGAAGGGGATGATAGTGTATGGGAGTGAAGGGATGTGTGTATGGGAGTGAAGCGGGATGATGTGTTGGGAGTGAAGTGGGATGATGTGTATGGGAGTGAAGTGGGATGATGTGTGATGGGAGTGAAGTGGGATGATGTGTATGGGAGTGAAGTGGGATGATGTGTATGGGAGTGAAGTGGGATGATGTGTATGGGAGTGAAGTGGGATGATGTGTATGGGAGTGAAGTGGGATGATGAGTGTAGGGAGTGAAGTGGGATGTGAGTGTAGGGAGTGAAGTGGGATGATGGTAGTGTATGGGAGTGAAGTGGGATGATGTAGTGTATGGGAGTGAAGTGGACTCATGTAGTGTATGGGAGTGGAAGTGGGATGATGTAGTGTATGGGAGTGAAGTGGGATGATCTGTAGTGTATGGGAGTGAGGTGGGATGATGCTATGTGTATGGGAGCGATCCGTGGATGATGTAGTGTTATGGGAGTGAGGTGGGATGTATGTAGTGTTGGGAAGTGACATGGGATATGTAGTGTATGGGAGGAAGTGGGATGTAGCGTATGGGATGAGTGGATGATGTAGTGTATGGGAGTGAAGTGGGATGATGTAGTGTATGAGAGTGAAGTGGGATGATGTAGTGTATGGGTAGTGAGGTGGGATGTAGTGTATGGGAGTGAGTGGATGATTGTATTGTATGGGAGTGAAGCTGGATGATGTTGTGTATGGGAGTGAAGTGGGATGATGTAGTGTATGGTGAGTGAGGTGGGATTGATGTAGTGTATGGTAGTGAGGTGGGAGTGAGGGTGGGATGATGTAGTGTATGGGAGTGAGGTGGGTGGATGAGTAGTGTATGGGAGTGAGGTGGGATGATGTAGTGTATGGTAGTGAGGTGGGATGATGTAGTGTATGGGAGTGAGGTGGGATGATGTAGTGTATGGTGAGTGAGGTGGGATGATGTAGTGTATGGGAGTGGGTGGGATGATGTAGTGTATGAGAGTGAGGTAGTGAGGTAGGATGATGTAGTGTATGGGAGTGAGGTGGGATGATGTAGTGTATGGGAGTGAGGTGGGATGATGTAGTGTATGGGAGTGAGGTGGGATGATGTAGTGTATGGGAGTGGGGTGGGATGATGTAGTGTACGAGAGTGAGGTAGTGAGGTAGGATGATGTAGTGTATGGGAGTGAGGTGGGATGATGTAGTGTATGGGAGTGAGGTGGGATGATGTAGTGTATGGGAGTGAAGTGGGATGATGTAGTGTATGGGAGTGAAGTGGGATGATGTGTTATGGGAGTGAAGTGGGATGATGTAGTGTATGGGAGTGAAGTGGGATGATGTGTATGGGAGTGAAGTGGGATGATGTGTATGGGAGTGAAGTGGGATGATGTGTATGGGAGTGAAGTGGGATGATGTAGTGTATGGGAGTGAAGTGGGATGATGTGTATGGGAGTGAAGTGGGATGATGTGTATGGGAGTGAAGTGGGATGATGTGTATGGGAGTGAAGTGGGATGATGTGTATGGGAGTGAAGTGGGATGAACCTTTATTTTATAATGTGTTTAGTTTCTCTGTGGTGAGGTGTGGAGAGTGTTATTTCATCATCTTTATTTGTTAGTAATTTTTGAGGTGTTCAGTATTATGTCTTTGTATATAAAGCTTAATATGCAATACTAATAAGTGTGTAATAAATTTGGATTATTGAGAAAGTCTTTGTATATAAAGTTTCACATACAATGTAAATAAGTGTGACATTCTTTGGTTTATATTGACTTTTGTGTTAAAAGATACTGGCTGAATTTCTGGATATAATAAACTCACCTCTATGTGCAGATGTAGGTTGTCTTTAGTTCAGTTGCATGTATGTTATGTGTGCTGGTTGGCCATTTTGGGGGGTATCAATCTTTTACAGTTGAACGTGTGTTTTTTATGTATAAGTTTGGTGCTGGGATAGGGAATGTGGAGTTGGTTCACGTTTCTTTGTTTATATAACCTATGTATTGCTTACATGTATAATGTGTAATGTGTTTTTAAATAAAATATAAAAAAAAATCTTCAAGTACATTTTGTTACGCCCTTTGTTCACCTTTTGTAGAGGGTCTGTTGTTTAATGTATAATTTCGGCTTTTTCACTTAACATTAAATTATTGGTATCCTTATTAGTAGCTAAAATAAGGATGCTTTACATATAATATTATCTGGCCGTAAATTGTTTAATTTTGTACATAGGCAGGATGTTTAATAGTCTAAACTGCTGGTGCAGTGTTAAGCACCAGCAAACAATTTGAGTTGCTCAACAGCTTGTCAGAGTGAAGGTTGGCTGGTAAAGCCTCACTTTGTTTAGTTCACAACTTCCCTTACTAGAGGAAGCGTGTATTGGAGAAATTTGCTTTTAGCCACTCTTCATTTCTTCAGAAGTCACCGGTGTCTTGGAAGCCTTTTATTAGGGTATAGTACGGCCTGGGAAGGTGTAGGAACTCTTGACGAAATTAGAAAAGAGCTTAAAGAGTGTAAGTGCTACGTTTTTATAGACTCTGATATAGAAGAAGGGAGGAATGGACCCCTTGGTAGAACTCTGTCTATTGCGTCAGTGTGTCGTTTAGGCTTGTAAATGTCTGTCTCTAATTTTGTGTATATGTGTCTTTTGACTCCTCGTGAGGGAGTCTAGAAACTGTCTAGTGCAAGTTACAATTATATAATGTATTAAAAGTTTGATAATAAGGGTACTGATATAAGTTTTTTTTTTTCATAGATTGCATTATGAGAAATTCTTGCCGCTTACCAGATTCACTCCCTCATATATTGTGAGCCCTGTCGTACCTGCTCTTAAAGCTGTTTTTTTTTCAGCTTACCTCCACTATCTTCACTGAGATTATTCTACTTTCTCTGCCCTTCCCTGAGACTGACAAAAATACTTCCTGATATTCCTGTGGCTCATCTGTTTTTTTTTGCTTCCAGTAGTGTCTTCGAATTCTCGTTTCTCTCCTATAATTTCCTGTGTATTTTGTTATCAAATCTCCCTTTTTCTTCTGTTTCCAGTGTTAATTCAGTTCCATTAACCTCTCCCCATAGCTCATGCCCCTAATTCAGCAGCAAGGCTTGTTGCGTAATTCAGTTTTTCTAGTTTCTTAACATGCTTCCTCAGGTTGGGGTTCCATACCGGTGTTACGCACACAAAGATGGGACTCACATTTGTTGTATAATGTGTCCGCGAAGATTCTTTGAGATTCTTGAAGGCCACTCTTAGATTTGCCAGGCGAGAATTGACCACAGAGGTTATTCGGTTGATGTGAACTTTCAGCGGAGCGCTAGATATCATGCTCACTCGAAGGTCTTTCTCTGTGGGATGAGGTCTGCTTCCTGTGTCCTTCGAGACGATACGCATTGTACGTTCTTCTTAGTATCAGTTACCAGTAGTGTCAGTAGTAATGACTCAGACCCACTGACCGTTGCTGCTGACCTAGTATGATTTGAATGCCACTCGCCCTCCAAGGCACTCAGCAAGCCAGTTCAAGTAGACACATTAAGGTAGACTCCCCCTATATTTCATCTAATATACACGTGAGTGGTTATTACTCAATCCATGTTCGAACCCCACACACATTCTATCTCCCGATCTTCATGATTTTGAATTTGCTGTGGTTGAATTCAAGCAGCCACTTGTCTTACCAACCTTGCTGTTTGTTCAGATCCATTAGCAGCCTTTCCCAGTCGTTGTTGTTCTCGACCTATCTTGATTAAATGCAGGGCATGATTCTTGAATGATTTTTCTGTTTATGTTAAACTTTTTGCCAATGATGTAACATCTTTGTGTAGGTGTGACATTTATGAATGTAGTAACCAGACAGAACGACTCTTTTTTTATCTTATTTATCGATTCCAACATTTAATTCCAAAAGTTGGCGGTTTGAATATTTAGACTGGAGCAAAATAAGATGACTTGGAGGGTGTATAAATCTATAAGAAGGTAAGGAAGCGTAGGGGTAGTTCTAGGAAAGGCTAGAGGGGAAGGATACTGGAGGGTTTTGTATGCAAGGGGTTTGAACATACAACAGTCCAAACGTGTTAGATATGAATGAGTGGAAGTGCTGTTTGTGACTTGACGCGTTGTTGGAGCGTAAGCAAGGTAACATTTATTAAGGGATTCAAGGAAACAATGTCCGCACTCGTCGGCAAGACAGTGATAGTGACATGACGCAAGTACTTCTTATTTTTGGGGGTCACACTGCCTGGTGGGGAGCCACCGGTGAGTTAAACTTGGTTTAATTTGTTCACATTTGTTTTCTTGTTTTCTATTAACAACTGTTTACGCATGTTCTCTCTTGCCCTGCTGCTGTTAACAATTATTCACACTTGTTGTGCTGCTGTTGACTGTCGCTCACAATATCTGACTGAACGTGCAGGATCTGAGAACTTGTGTTCCAACTGAGTGATCTAATATGCTGTATTCTTGCCGGGTTTTAAGTTATATTCATCATGCAGATTCTTAGATGAGGTATTTTACATTAAGGGACTTGTTTTATTCCACATTTCTGCCTAACATATTGAATTACACATTATTCTACAAGCAGGAATATATTTTTCTTCCAACTACTTGATATTCCTATCATTGTTCATTTCTGCGTTGTATGTCTAATAAAATATATTAATTTTATTTGTGTGGTTCACAGAGTGCAGCATCAACCCTGTGTGTGATGAAGGCTACGGAGTGTGCAGAGCTTTTTGTCTTAAGCAAGAACAAGAGGTGAAGAATGGTTGTGGTGACTCTGCTTGCAAGTGTTGCTCACCTCGCCTGGCCACCTGCCATGCCTCTAACAACTGTTCTGGCATCTGCACAGATGTTAGAAAGTGTACTAATCCACTAACAAACAACTTCTGCTCTGGTTTGAACTGTGTGTGTTGTGACAGTAAGTAACTGAATAATGGTTAAATAAATAGTGGTTAAATAAACACTGCAATGGATTTGAACATATTACACAAAATATTAAGAAGTTTACTTGTGTGTTGCAAAAAATGGTAAATTTATGTAGTGAATTTTGGTATACAATGTCTTCATTTATTTTAATAACAAGCTGTTGTTCCTTTAAACAGAGCTAATTTTTTTGTGTTTTTGAAAGAAAAGGATGATGCGGGGGGCGGGCCCAATTGTAGTTAAAAGGAAACAATTTTATATTAATGGTGCATTTTACTTAAACCCAAATTATGAGGGTTTTGTAGATACAGGAACGGAGTTATGTTTTTTGTGACTTTTCAAAGCAAAACTAAAGGGGTTGGTGCGAGTGAAAGAAGGGAAAGCTGTTTTTAGGGTTTTCATCTTGTTAACCATGATTTTTTGGGTTTTTTTGAAAAAAACCCTTTTAAAGTTCATCTGGTATAAGTGCTATGGAAAACACGAGTTGCAAGTGAATGTGGGGGGGAAAGAGTGACCCTTCAACATACTCTGGGGATGTTTTTAAGCATTTGGGAATCATACCTATGTTTTCCTGTCGGGAAAGATGGAAACCCTTTTGATAAAAAAAAAGCTTTTTGAAAAAAATAGTAGGGTTGTAGGGAAAAAACAGGGAGGGCGTCACTAGCTAATGCATGTTAGTGGGTTTTTTTGTGTTTAACAATACGCTTTCATGTAAACACGCGTATATACTTTCAGGGAAAAAAATAAATTTTTTATTGATTTTTTATTTTTCGAAAATGGAGTGGCCTTTAATAAATTTAAATGGTAGGAAAAAAAAATTTCGTATTATGGAAGACGGTAGGCCTACCGGGGGTATATTGTTGTTAAAAATGGTTTGTAGTAGTATTTGTGGAATTTAAAAGTAATAAAAAGCAGTAAATAATGGTTTGTGAAGTGGTAGAAAAAGTAGTAGTTTGTTTAGTATAGCAATAGCAGGGAGTAATGGGAGTTGTAGAATGGTTGTATTAGTAAATATAAGGGGAGTAGTGGTAATGTGTTTTTAAATTTAGGATGGTGTCATTGAAGATTTCGGGGTAACGAAGTTGTTTTTTTTATGTTTTGGATGTAAAAGGCTGGCTCCATGTACTTTCGCGCTTTTTTGGTTTTGGGTTAGGGAAACCCGCCCGGGGAATCTCCCCTTCGTGAGGTCGTCAGTTGTTGACACGGCGTTTTTTGCGTTTTTTTATTGACCCAATAAAAATATCTTTAAATTTTTTAAAATGTACAAGATTTACAGCCCCACCCGACATCAATGACAAACACTAAAAAGAAAGCCGTTGTTTTGCGGCAAATTTTTGAAATTAGGTCATTTTTTTCCCCGGTTTCAACCCACCCCAGTCGACTTTTTTTCTTTAGATTTAATTTTTTTCCTAATGGGGAAACTGGATAACCGTTTTAAAGAAACGCCCAGTGTTTCTACCCCTGGGGGAATGAACCCCGACCCATCCCGTGTTTAAGGGGGAGAGCTTTGCCCCCAGGCCCCTTTCCCGGCTGTTTCCCCGGGGGGGCAGGAGGGGTTTTTCCAAAACGTTTTACACATTACTCCCGGGAGGGGAAAGGGTACCCACCTGGTGGGTTATTTTTTTTGGGATTTAAAAATTAGAATTTTTTTGGGGACAACTTGGATTTAGATGCTTGTTTCGGGGTTTCCTCTAATGAGGGAAATAAGGGGATGAAAATGGGTAACGCGATTAAAATTGGGATTTTTGCAAGCCGGGGGGGGGGTAAAAAGTAGTCTTCGGAGGCTTCTTACTTTATTTTAAAAGTAGTGGTTTGGGAACAAGGCTTGTGTTGGGGCCCATGGCCCCGGGGAGGGGGCCCTGCCCCCCGAGGGGGGAGAACTATAGGCCCTTTTGTCTTGCGCCAGGAATGAAGGGGCGAGTGGGACCCGCTCCCACTGACTTTTGGGGTGGGTAAGGGGAGCACCCTTTGTGCCGCGAAAAATGAACTAAGCTGGCAGCAGCATAGGCTTTGTGCAGACAGTACAGGCTTCTACAATGGAGCTCCCAAAAACCGGGGGGGATAACAGCATATTCTTCCTCTAGTAACTCTTGTCTGTAGATACTGAAAGCTCATGGAAAGCATACTGTTGCAATGTCTCATTTGATTTTAGGATAAAAATGTTGGCAGGTTTTCAGCAGACTTTTAACCTGAGTAAAATATTGTTGTGCATGAGAACATCAACGAACGGAAGTTGTCGTTGGTTTCCTCTTAAGTAAATTGAATTGAAGGCTCAATCATTTTCTTTGTAGCTGGTGGGCAGTGTTGTGTCCATAAGAGACATCGCCTAAGTGACGCATCTATGTGATGTAGTTAGAAACAATGTTATTGAAGCGTTCGGTTTACTAAGTTTCCCATATAAAGATTTACTAGTACTGTGCAGATGATGAACCCAATACTCGTCCCGTTATTTTTGTTTGTAGAGGCTATTATTGAAAAAGAAACAGTTATACCTAATGCATAGATCAATGAGATCGATGAAGTTGTTAGGCGGAAATGGCAGTGAGAAGTAATGAATGTGTAACGAACCAGCTCAATTGCCTACATAGGGTAGACTTTATGACTAAGGTGGTGAGGTACAGACTTGTGGAAAACTGCGTTTATCTGAATGTAACTAATTATGTACATAACAGTAAATGATAACAAAGATAATTATTATTTATCAATGTTACATAGACAAGTAGGAATTTGGGACACCTAGGTCGCAAAAATGTCTCCCTTCGATACCTACCACTGTCATAACCACAAGTTGCTCTGGACCTATTAATTAAATGAAATGTACATACACCAGGAATACTGGTAAATATATAAATTTGTGGACTGTATATTAAAAATAATAAATGGTTTTATATATACACAATTACATAACAGAAGGAAAATGTATCTTAATATCACTCACCAATTTGACTGGATATTAAGTTTATCATACTCAGAAAAACCTCCTAACTAAATTATGAAAACACTGGCCAGAATTATACACAAATCTAGAGAGCTTATCTGAGGTTCCTGGAGCTGTCTTGTCCAGTCGTCTGATATCTCAAGTTATGCAGGAATGCACATCCAACAATTTCGCCTCCTATTTGAGAGGTGCCAATCCAATTTTAACCTCTAGAGCACGAAAAATTCTTCCCATTATATTAACGTTGTATCCAATTCAAAACCAAGATGGCGAGTCCCCTTCTACGCAGACGCAGGCTTTCCGTTTTCTATGACATAAATATTATTAAATACAGTATGGCCATCTATTTACATATAAATACTGAATTTCTGGAAAATATATACAGTATTTTCCACAAGACTGCTGATTGTCTTATTCCTGACAGGAAAGTTTTTAATGCGACTGAGTAAATCACCAGTGTGTTTAAGGAATGTGTGGCTGATAGAACCTAAGAGCCCAGAACGATGTTTGGTAAGAACACTGGCTAAACTAAGTGGAACATTCCATAGAACAGACGTGACTAGTCTCAAAGACGAGTTTCGTTTATGGCTGTTTCGTAGATAAAATACATGTGTAAATTTTGTTTCCCGGAACAAGGTATAGCGGGTTCTTCAGTGCGATTGAAAACTTGTCTGACTTTGAATGATAAATTTTTGACATGTCACATTATTGGCTGTTAATGTGCTGGTAAGTTGTAAGGTCGTTAAAAAGATGCACACTTTTTGAAATTGCCGTCTTCTCGGTTTTATATGACGATTCTGCCCCCTGAATCTGTTATGGTGATGACTGTGTTGGGGCCCTTAGCAAGATCTTGGAAGACTGTTTCATACCTTCTGGTAATAGTAGAAGAGAACGGCTCATATATAAGGCATTAATGAAGATGGAGGAGACATTGTCAATGTGCAACAAGTGGTGGAAATATAATGCAGAGGAGTCCTTTATTTCTTCAATGTTTCATCCAACAAAGTACTTGGAAAATCCCAGCGTGGGGAGGAACGTTGTACAAATATAGGATTTCTTTTCACTTTTCTTTACTTTAGTGAGATCCTGTATGAAGTCTTCTTGAAAGTGACTGTTGCAGTGTTTGGTGTTCTTGTTCCCAACGCCTAGTTGGTGGATGGGCTTGCACAAGTCAGTAGGAATTTTAAGGCCTAGGATGAGTGCCGGAATTTCGTAACTGGATATTGTGTGTGAGGACAGATTATTGATCAGAAAATTGATGTTTGATTTATGAACAGTATACTGACTAACGACAAGCTCCCATTCCTCAGCCTCTTCATACACAATACAACAGTTTATCCAGGTTCAAATTCTACAGAAAAATATACTAATATCTATTAACATTACCTCCAGTCAGGCCATAAAAACCAAACGAGGCAATGATAAAAACTTTTTCTAAGTACCTTACGTATCTGCAGCTCTGAGTTCTAAGACGAAGATTGAGCGAGTTCATACACAAAGCATTTTTGGAGCTCCATTTCCATGCTTTCATTTCTGATTGCAAGAACTGCGCCTTACAGATCTTGAATTATCCAGGCAGCAGCACCAGTTCCCGTAAAATTATCGTCTATTCTAACTGTTGCCAAAGGGAGCAACAGAGGAGGCACCACCACAAGTCACCATCAACATCACAACTACGAAAATTCTAATTCCGCTGGTGTTTGCACTATTCACTGAGTGAGATGCGAGTATTCACTGCAGAAACCTCCTGCACCTTTGAAACTTGCCTGTACAAACGCATTTATGCCAGCAGGTATAATAACCTTAACACCAGTGTGCAGCATCGGAACAACACTAACTACCATATGAAGTGGAATTATGTCAGTGTAGTTGTTGAAGAACAAGACACACGACATCGTAATTACATTTAGGAAGCCCTTATAACTGCCTCTTACACTGTTAAACAGAATATTAGTACCTTTATCTCCTATATTCTAGCACGAAACCTAATTAAAAAACACCATCACTTGAAGCACCTCTACACTACTACTACTACTACTACTACTACTACTACTACTACTACAGCTGTATAGTCCTTGTGGCTTAGCGCTTCTTTTTGATTATAATACTACTACTACTACTACTACTACTACTACTACTACTACTACTACTACAGCTGTAGCTATTACTTCTACTACTACTACTGTTGTTGCTGCTGATGCTTTTATTACGACTACTACTACTAATAACAGTAATAATACCTTACCCTCTTTCCAGGCACTCTCTTCCTCACTGTGTTAATGAAATATATGTATTAGTAAGCAAAACGTTGTCTTAAAATGAGCTCTTATTAAGTTGTAAATATGTTCATTTACTTACATGTTGTTGGTATTTCTATCAATACATAGACAGGAAAATGAAGAGTGAAATAGCAGGTTAGAGTAATTAACAGTGAGCCTAATTTGTACAGCAGCGCATCCTCCAACTTTAATAAAATGTACTTGGTAATATTAATTATGTAATGGTGTAATATTTTCTGCTTTGCCAGAACTTAGTTCAGTTATGCTAACGTAACGTAGGATGTTACATATTTAAATTTTATGGTTTAGCTGTTGCGGGGGAAGTGTAGTAATGTGTGATAACACCCGTTTTATTTGCTTGATAAACTAAATGTAGAGTATAATTTAAGTTGTGAAAGTGGATGATGACTTATGGCACACAGTAGTTATAAAGAGAACAGATCAAGTAAGAGCATCGTGTTTTAGGGAATACTCTTTGGAGAATTTCTTATAGAATTTCTTATAGAGTGATTGAAAGGGACAGAGAGTGTCAGAGTTGTCCAAAGGGTTAAGTGAGAGATTCCCGAGGGAGACAGGAGAGTTCTCACGGGTGTCAAGGAGTTTTCAAGGGTGTCAAAGAGTTCTCGACGGTGGTAAAAAGTTCTTTGATTACATCAAAGATTTAAGATGATATCAACGAGATAGGGTTTCAGAAAGTTTATAATGTCAGTTTTCAAAGGTATCCCAACTTCCTGTCGAGAGATCTCGAAGGTATCGAAGAGATGGTCTCAAGAGTGCCAGAGGTTTCTTAATTGTTAATGATATTTTCAAGACTCTCCGAGTTATCGTGGGTGTCAGAAGAGAGTTTCTCGTAGGATGGAATTCTGTATTGTCACTGATTTGTTTCAAAGATGTCAAAAAAAGATCTTAATTGAAAAAGGGGTCAAAAAGCATTAATAAATAGCATACAATTAAACATTTAGTTTAGAATTTAATATAAATAGGGTAGTAGAAAATTTTCTAACACAGCGTTCCATCGCAGCAAATTTCAGCAGAATGATTAAAATATTAAAAAATATATATATTGATATTTTATACTAATGATTCTTTCCTATTGATATCGACGCATGTAATACTGGAAATTTTATCTTCAACAGAGTGTAATGCACAACCTTTCTGTAACGACGGTAACGGTGTGTGCAGAGAAGCTTGTCACAGTCAAGAGAGGGAGATAGAGAATGGTTGCAGTGTCTCTGGTTGTAAATGTTGCACACTGCAGGTTGCCACGTGTAACGCCTCTGCACAATGTCCTGGAATGTGTGTGGACTCCAGGAAGTGCACTAAGCCTCTCCATAACTCTCGCTGCTCGGGACGTCACTGCATTTGTTGTGACAGTAAGCATTTTTGGTCTCTTGTTGCTTATTCAGATACAGGTACGCATAAATACCATTATCATAACTGGGACAAGAAGAAAGCTGGTCCCCAGCAGAGAAACCTGATGTACGCTTTCCTAGGAAAATAACTCTCCAATACAATTGAAGAGGGACGAGGAGCTTGTTGTAGCCTGACCACCTGACAGTATTACAGTTAAAATTATAATCTTAATTTTTAAGGGGTGAACGCCTCGGTCAAATGACCATAAGCTCCAGTGGTGGGTCATGATAGAGTTAAGATCCTCGTTAGGAAACAATTGTCCTGTTTCCTGACGAATCTTACCTAACCTGACAGCCAACACCAACGTAGGACAAGGAGGCTGTTAACTAGCCTCTCCCAGTCCACTATTTCCTTACATAAAAGTGATGCAGTGTCTCATTATTCCTTTTGTATTCCATGTAATATTCATCGTTTGCTGGATGAATGTTTTGCACATTTACTTTGAATGGCCAGAATTCTGGAACTGCAGAAATATTATAAAAATTAGACTGACATCAATGGTTATAAGCAGTCAGAGGTCAGAGAGATGGAAAATAAGTAACACAGCAAGTAATGTTCAGAAAAACCCTATTTAACACATCATTTTTTCTCCTGGATTTCAATAACATCTTTATTTTGCATCTTAGCAGTTTCATCGCTTTAATATTCCAGGAGATGTAGAGAAACTGTTCTCCAACACCAGCTGAACCTTATCGTGAGTAGACCGTCACATACTTAGCAATATGACTTTCTAAGATTCTTTCAATTTTCCTAATGTTTAATTCTGAGGCAACCGCTTACACGGAGACAGAGTTTCCTCTCACTTTCACTGAAGACATTGGTATAAACCTTGGTAATAAATACCGACAAGTTGGTTTAGAAAGACACGTAAGCAAACACTATGACATATTTATTAGAAAACGTTTCGGTCCTGGGACCTTGATCACTTCTAACATGTTAGAAGTGATCAAGGTCCCAGGACCGAAACGTTTTCTAATAAATATGTCAGTGTTTGCTTACGTGTCTTTCTAAACCAACTGAAGACATTACGTACCCAAATGTGCTCCATTATTCTGCGTAATGTGTGTCATTGAAAGTGCCAAAACATCGAACACTGGAAGGGAGGAGCTTCTCAACAGCATCAACAGCCATCACAACATCAATGTATCTACAACAAATATGAAAAAAATAGCCATACTAATATTCAAGTAAAGTGGCTTTTAGATTCAGTTATTGGGCAAAAGCTAAATGATGGTCAACGTAACACCAGTCATAGTTATATTAACATAGGGTTCCGATACAAAACTTGCTGATACAAAAACACCAGAAGAATATATCCCAACCGGCACGTAAACAAATAAGGAAAATGGGGTAAGGGCGCTCTCTGGAATACATGAAATGTAAATAATTCCATGGTAAGACACCTTGACCTCAACAAATACAAGTAGCAGAGCTGCCTTACATAGGAACCATCTCCTTCCCTAGATAGGGAACTCGACTGGGATGCTTCACCGGAATTAATAAAATATGTTATTTGTATTATTAAATATGATGATTTTATTCATTAGTAAATATGATGCTTTCTTTCATCGACAATAAACAGATGCTTTGTTTATAAAACACTCTTGCTTTCTTAAATATGAGTTGCTTGCTGCATTGAACAAGTGATATACTTGTGTTCAACCACTACCAGCCTGTGTTCTTCTGGAAATCAAATATTTGAGGTGTTCAGCAATTGTGTTCCTCAATGAATAAGATTGTGTTCTACAGATAATTTGTTTCTGATCCTCAATAGAGTGTAATGCTCAGCCTTTCTGTAATGGTGGTCATGGAGTGTGCCGGAACAGCTGTCTGAGCCACGAGCGTGAGGATGAGGGAAGCAGCTGTGGTGAATCAGGCTGTAAGTGCTGCACAGTGCGCCTCGCTGTCTGTCTCAGCTCCAACAATTGTTCTGGCATTTGCCTCGATTCCAGCCTGTGCACAAATCCCATAGCTAACAGTTCTTGTTCCGGGGATTACTGTGTGTGCTGTGACAGTAAGTAGCCAATCTTTGTTCCAGGGATTATTGTGAATTTTGTGATAATTACTAGGATTGTTCAGGAAATCATCAGTCATGACAGAAATTGTTCCAGGGATTATTGTGAATTTTGTGATAATAACTAGGATTGTTCAGGGAATCATCACTGTGTCGTGACACTCTTTTACGAAAGATTGTATCCCAGAGTATTTATCGAGAAGAACTCCACTCCATTTGCACACTTATTATCCAGAAAAAATCTATTTATATATTTATAGTCAATAAAATAAGTATTTTATACTTTCATTTGATGTAGCAGAAATTATATTGACAAGAAACTAAACAAAAAAGTACGTATGTCTTTATACAGATTTTCTTGATATTTATTGTTTGTCAACATACTGTGTGCTCGCCAACACATTCAATGTATATTTTTCAATAAGTTCCTTGTGTGTTTTCCACCATGTATATTCTGGTGTTTCTCAGTGTGCGTTCCATGTGTTTCTCAATATGTTCTATGTGGGATTATAAGGGAAAGTTCTCTTTTATGTATATAGTTTTGTGTGAATTGGAGTGTGATTGTGTGGGTCGTTTGAGTATTGAATCTCTACACTCTGGAGTAGCTGTAGATTTCGCTGCTCAACAGTTTTTGAAAAGATGTATGCTTCTTAAATGAAATTAGTTAATTCTTATTTATTTTCATATCCTGAATCCAAATATCACCTTGAAAAATGCTTATTGGCTGTTGTGATAGAAACACAGGCCTTATCTCTAGGCTTTATTGAACATAGAATCTTCATAGTACTTCTGCAACAACAAAATATAATGACTAGTACATCTAATAACTGCTTCTACAGGGATGGTGATGTCTTGCATATGTCAAGAGAAAAGTTATAACACAGGCCACATATTTAAACTCGCCATGTAATCTGCATCACTAATATATGGATATAAGAGAAGAGAATCACACACCATGTGTTGGCGCCCATGACACACACCAAGCTGTTGTTGTTAAGGGCCCCGAGAGGTGGTGCAGTATTATCCTGCTGCTGCTCCCCACAGGAGCAGTATCACTACAATCTCCCCCTTCTAAAATATCAGAGACAGTAATCTCCCAAACTGTTAGGTGGGCGACGTACACGTCCCGACCTTCGTAGCCCTTGAGCCTCTTCACCAGGTTCAATATTTTCCAGCGGGGTTTGACTAACTGCTGGAGCAGAATCCTCTATTTCCATAGGGGTAGTCTCAAGGGGCTTTCCAGGAGAAAACGAAGCATCTTTCACATCTATTGGTGTATCTTGAGATTCCACACTAATGGGGATTTCAACTGGGGCTAAATGTCTTATAGATACTGTAGTCTCTTCACCATTTTGGTAGCGAATGTGGGCGTAATGTGGATTAGCTTGCAGGAGCTTTACCTCTTCTTTTTGATTATAATAATAATAATACCTCTTCCACTAAAGGATCCGTCTTGTTCATCCTACGGTGACTCTTCAGGAGAACGGGTCCAGGATGACATAACCAAGTGGGCACGGAGGCTCCCGTAGAGGAACGACGTGGATAGTTGAGGAGTCTTTCATGAGGGGTTGCATTAGTAGCTGTGCACAGCAATGATCTAATAGAGTGAAGAGCATCAGGTAGGACAGTTTGCCAGTGTTCAACAGGTAGATTGCGCGACTTCAATGTCATTGTAACTGCCTTCCATATAGTACCATTGAACTTGCTCCACTTGACCATTGCCTTGAGGGTTGTAGCTTGTTGTTCTGATGCAGGCAATACCTTGCTAGCCAAAAACTCCTGGATGTTCGTTAATCATGAACGAGGATCCCTGTCTGAATGGATATAAGCTGGATACCAAAACTAGAGACAAACTGTGAAAGACATAACTAAACAACAGTTGAAGCAGTCATATTTGCACGGGGGAACACAAGGGATAACCTTGAATATTCATCTACTATGTTAAGTAAATATCTATTCCTGTTATAGATGATTGCATCGAAGAGAAGATCGGATTACTTCAAATTATGGAACCTGTAGCAGAGAATTTGTCATCTGTCAGATAAGACGCGCCACGGCACCACACCGTGGGGCTCTTTGATATCGCCTCGCATGTACCCGTCACTCTCATATAGAGCCCCCCTGATGAAAGTTTCCGCGCATCTGCATCCTGAAACCTACTCTGCATCGCCATCTGTGTGGCCACTTTAGCGACTTCTTTTTGATTATAATAATAATAATCTGCAGCTATGATCACTGTCTGTCGTACATCTTTCACTGAGTTAGGGCAGGTTCTTTGATTTGACCAAAATGGTTACAGGGTGTAACTCCTGGGTGACACAAAGCCTTGCAGAGCTCTGGAGTGCTTGCAAATCATGACATGCGCTCCACAGTGGGACCTAGGAAGCATAAGTGAGATGTTCTCTTGACCGGTCGGTACAGAATATCAAGTCATACACGATAGTTCCATCCTCCAGCGTAATATCTTGTCATTCTTTATCCTATTTTGTGCTTCTTGTCGGCAACCATATACATCTGGACCGTTGGTCAGTCTTTATGGTGAAATGTTTCAGTTAAATAATGCCGTCCAAGGTGGCGAACTGCTACTTTGATGGCCTGGGCTTCCTTTTCTACAGCAGCGTAAACACTTCTCGATCCTTGAAAAGTTCTCGACAAGAAGGATACTGGTCGTCATGCCTATGAGATAAGACTGCACAAATGGCAAGTTCAGATGCATCCGTTTCCACTTAGAATGGTAGGGACTCATCTAATGGCTTGAACTACTGGAGTTTTCAATGTCTGTTTGAGAGCATGGGAAAGTGGCTTTGCTTCCTTTCGTCACAGGAATGTGGTTGCCACTCTATGGGCGGACTTTACTTGATAGTTGTAGATCCATTGTGAGTAATAAGCAAGAGACCCAAGAGTTCTTCGGAGTGACTTTTTGGTCTTGAGGGCATTGGAAGTTACCGTTAGAGGTCGTAGTCGTTTAGGGTTGGGATGATTGAAACCTCCTTCCACTACATAACCAAGGATGTAGCCTTTTAGTTGAAAAAAGTGTGCAATTTTCCTCTTTGTACTGATTTTTTCTTATTTAGCGGCTGCCAAAATTATCAGGTTCTGCATCATGTTCTCCTGGCGTCTTGGCCACCAAATGGTAACATTATCTTAAATACGGCGGTTTATGATTCATGAGTTGCTCACTTCCTGAATTGGTGGAATCACATAATTGTTGGAAGCAGTTTATCCCTATTGGTGATCCAAAAGGGATCTGTAAACTTGATAAGGCCATCACCGCATGAAATGCTGTGTATGGTTTACTTCATTCCTTATAGGGACATGATGATAGAGCACTCCTGTAGATCAGTTGTGCTAAACACATAGTACTGTAAGCAATTTTGTTCACTGTATCATCAATTCGAGGTAGAGGGTACCATCATGAAGTGTTAATTGTTTGATTGTCTCAGAGTAATCGATAGCCAGCCTCAGTTTCCTATAATCATCATTAAAAAACCACAACAACCTGTGCACGCCCGGGGATTACTCGGTTCTATAATACCCTCCTTCAGCAGCCTCTGAGTTTCTTTTGTCTCAATGAACATCCGATCCTCTTAAGATTAGTGGCGTGATTTAGAGATATAGGATGGCAGTCCGCGGTGTAAGGTTTGCAAACAGCTTAGGTGGGTTACCTTAAAGTGCTAAGTCCACAGACAACAAGAGGAGAGCCAGTTACACCTCCATATGTAAGGTGACACTACCATGCCGGATTTGAGACCTGACAAGGATTCCATCAGAGCACAGTTTGTGGCAGAATAGTAAATGTAATTCTTGAAATCCTTTCATTAACTCTGAGATTTTACCTCTACAAAAACCTTATGTCTGAATAGAGAGAGATGTTGATGCCATCGGAACGGTGTACAAGTTTGTCCTGATGAGTGATGTAAGTCACAAGGAAGTGGGCGTTTAACTAAGTCAAGGTTGATGAAACTCTGAGCTGCCACTATCAATAAGACATTACTATCTGTTCCTTTGCTGAATACTTTCACAACGCCTTTGACAGTGAATTTGGAGTAGCCGCAAGAAGTCACTGTTGCTAGAGTCGCATGGCTCACTGGAATGTGTGGAGGCACTAGCTCTGGTTTATGCACTTTGCAGTCATACTTTTAGCAAGTGACTTTTTGTGGCATTTATGCACATTGCTTCACGTGCAGGGACACTTTGGAGTGGAATGTCTTGAAAAACCACAAAAGAAACACAACCGCTACCTGTGCTGCTGTCATGAGGCAGGTTCCACCGTAACTTCATTGCAAGAGTCTTGGTCAGGAATTGCAGCACTTACCATCGAGAGGACTGGAGTGGTACAGTATACTTCAGAATTCTTCTGGGTGATTCTAGAGCTTTGCCTAGATCAAAGGCAGTCGCTAAGTTGAGAGTTTTATTCTCCATAAACGCTGCCTTTTATTGGTGATTGCAGGCCACTGATAGCACTGATAAAAGCATCCCTCGATGACTCTTCACATAATGAAGCAGCTGTTACTGCGTGGATGTGACTGTCCTTACCTAAAAATTTCAGTGCTTGAAGGTATTCCTCTAAGGATATCATCAATCTGCTGGCGGCGTGTTGCAAGGCGGATAGCGTGCAAAGATTTCATTTGTATAGTTAATATACAGAGACTTGATGGTTTTGATAAGCATCTCAATAGGTATTACACTCAGAAATAGCCTCATATATCTTAGGTGACACAAAATGATGAGCGACTTAGTTTATCTAGATCTTCTTTAGGAAGGCTCCCAAGAAAGTTTTCGAAAGTCTTAAACCAGTGCTTCCTTCCAGAGCAGCCGTTGATAAGGCTGGGGTCACAGTCTAGCCTCTCAGGTTTCAGTAAACGCACCATCGTTGTGTTGTTCAGTTCTAGAGCAGATTCACCACCAGGTAGCCCAGGACTTATATGTTCAATAAAATTGTTGTGATAGAAACACAGGTCTTAATCTATAGGCTTTATTGAACATAGAATCTTCATAGTACTTCTGCAACAACAAAATATAATGACTAGTACATCTAATAACTGCTTCTACAGGGATGGTGATGTCTTGCATATGTCAAGAGAAAAGTTATAACTACAGGCCACATATTTAAACTCGCCATGTAATCTGCATCACTAATATATGGATATAAGAGAAGGGAATCACTCACCATGTGTTGTCACCCATGACACACACCAAGCTGTTGTTGTTGTTGTTAAGGGCCCCGAGAGGTGGTGCAGTATTATCCTGCTGCTGCTCCCCACAGGAGCAGTATCACTACATTGGCTACCGGTTTAAAGAAACGAGACATGAAAATTTTTAATTATTTTATTATAACGTACAGTATGTGTCAGTATGTTTTTAACTATAATCCGTACCTTTCTGCTTGTCGTTATAGGTGGGCTAATGAATATCTCTTCAATGTCCAACAATAGTCTGCAAGCATTCTTGTGCCCCATTTGCCCTGGTACCATTTTTCCATGGTTGAAATATCTTGGTGAAACCTTTTACCATGTTCGTCACTAACTGCCTCAATAGAAATGGACCCCTTTTTTTTCTTTGACAAGCCCTTTTGCACTGGAGGTACCATGCAGAAATAATGATTGTTGGTATGGTCTGTTGGCTCCCGCCATGCCACTGGCACAGCAAAAGGCATTCCTTTCCTCTTCCTGTTCAAGCATTGGCGAAGGTTAGTAGCACAATTGTTGCAGCACAATCCTAGTCACCAATCTTGCAGCCAAAATATAGGTGATATGCCTTTCTAACCATAGCAGTTATATGGTGCTTCTGTGATGCAAAGGTCACTCACCACAAATGTAGCAGAAGTTGTCTGCCCTGTTCACACAAGTATGAGATATCTGAAAGAAGAAAACAACAAACAGTTAGAAGATAAACAGAAAATTTATTCATTAATTTATTATAATACAGAACATGACGGTTAAGGAGAAATATATTTATATCTTTCAGTAGGAAAATAAAATTAATATAATGTGCTTCGCTTCACATGCATATCAATAGCTTGCTCAGTGAATATTTATTATATGTTTCAAGTGTCTGGCTAAGAAAATCACCTACCTTTCACCTCAAAAATAAAACTTGCACAGTTTCAACCCCACTTTATGATGCTGGAACAATAATGAAGATAAGTTCGAGACCTTGACTGTGGTTTTAAAGAAGCAGCATGCCTGCAAGCCTGCTGGAACCTGTTGTGACACGTAAGTGTATACTGAAAAGTTGAGCTAACAAACAATTTTAACCATGATGCTCATGATCAGTGACCTAAAATTAGTTGGAAATTGCTACTTTGGTCTCGGAAGCATTTTGGTTGTTGACTAGTGTTTCCTGTGCTATGGTGGGGAAAAAAAAAAAATTACATGAATTCACCTTGACTATCTGACTATCCTGTGTGTGTTTTCGCTTGTGCATATTTTTCTTGATGCTGTCAGCTATCTTGAGTTCATGGCAAATTAGTTTTTAAGGCACAGTAATGATTTATTTTCTCTCACCAGTCTTTTAAAGCCTTCAGTTTATCGAATGTCAGCCACATGTCATGAGGGTAACTGCTGTGTGTGAGTGTGTTTCTCCCCAATCTAGAGTATTTTGAGCCTGCCAGCGAAACTTGGGGGATTTTAAGAGATGCTTTTACTTTGCCAAAAACTTCTGTAAACTAGTCCAATTCGCTTCATATTCCGTTAT